ATTATTTCAGGATACTTTGAAGATTATTTACTTTTGGTTGGTAACTTTCCTCTTAATATAGCTTTCGTTTTTCACTTGATAATTAAATCTTCGTTGCTCTATCACTTTTTACGTATCTGCGCGTCGGTTAGAGATTAGTTGGAGAATGATGTTGGATATCAACTTGAGAAATTTACTCCAAAGTTGGAAAAATATTTTTTTGGTGTTTATTTGGTTTGTTCAAAAATTTGCAGAGCGATATAATAACTCTGTTATGTAAAACATGGTTGCATTTGTTATCTGCAAATATATCGAGAGAAAATTCCACAAAAATTCCTCAAAATAAAAATCCTCACAAAACACTCAAGCGCACCCGAAATTCCTCACGTTTTAAGGAATTACTCACAAGGAGGTCACTCTGATATATACCCCCTGTCACCAGATGCCCGGCAGGATATCACCCTGAAATAAGTGCGCTCCTCAGAGATGAAAACCGAATGGTAGTTGGCGACTTTGACGCGTACCACGATCTTTGGCATTCCAGCCTATCGAATGATCGTAGGGGAACACACTTTGCAGAGCAGATAGATGATTCGATATTATACACAATGATCGACGACGCACCCACCAGGATTATGGACAGCAACTGCAGCTCGCCAGACCTCACAATTGTCGGCGCTGGTCTGATAAACAGCATATCATGGCGTCCTATGCTGAGTTTAGCTTCAGACCATCTGCCCATAGTCATCCAGATTGATATACCTGCCGACTTTGCTTCCGCGGATCACCGGACCTATGCCAACTTCTCCANGCCTCTTTATATAGCTTTCGCTTTTCACTTGATAATTAAAAATTCGTTGCTCTATCACTTTTTACGTATCTGCGCGTCGGTTAGAGATGAGTTGGAGAATGATGTTAGATATCAAGTATGAATTCGCCACGGTTGGAGAAATATTTTTTTGGTGTTTATNAGACTGGAAAGGCTTCGCGGATGTTACAGGAAGCACCTTCCCTGCACTAACAACACCAACCGACGTTCACGTGTGTGAGTGTAAATTCGGCAGGGTTGTCACTGCTGCTGCAGCTCGCTTCATTCTAGCAGGACGCATTTCGAACCCCCGTCCGAATGTTCCTGCTGAAGCGGCTGACGTAGCCGATGAGCGTGACAACCTTCGTCAGGCCGAACCTGGAAATCTCCGTATCTGGGATCTCAACTCGGATATTCGACAACTATTAAACGTACAAAAGCGGAAGAAGGGAGAAGAGCATCTGAAGACCTGCAACTTCGCCTCTGGTGTGAGCAAACTTTATTCAACCGTGAGGTCATTGTCCAACCCGACGATGCGTAACGACAGAGTTGAAATATCTTTTGGGGACCACGCTTCGTCGGACTCGGAGCTATGCGCGAGCTATTTTAGCCGACAGTTCATACTGCATCCTCCGGCGGACAAAGCCAACCGGTGAGTGACCACAAGGCTGCACAACCTGCCAAAACCAAGTGCACCTCTTGTTTTCACCAGCGGCGAGGTAAGGGTAGCCATCGTGAAGGCGAAAGACTCCCAAACCATTGAACCCGACGGAATTTGCACGCTGCGGGAGTGGACTATCTAACCAAGTTCCTCATCCTGTGTATGGCCACTCTCATCATTCCAGACATCTGGAAAATGGGGAGAGTGGTTCCACTGCTTAAACCGGGGAAGCTGTCCAACAAAGGAGAGCCTTATCTCCCGATAACTCCCCTTTTCCAGTTAGGGAAGACTCTAGATGCCCTTCTACAACACTAGAGGCACTACACTAACCACCTGACCCCAGCGAAGCATCAGTATGGGTTCCGTAAAGCGCACAGCACAACAACAGCACTTAGCGCCATAAACACACATATAACTCGTGGCCTTAACCGAAATCACCCCTCTGAGAGAACTCTTCTAGTAGCGTTGGACCTGTCCAAGGCGTCCGACACCGTCAGCCACTCAACGCTACTAGAAGGCAGAGGCCTCCTCTCTCCCACAGGGACCGCCCTTTGGCAATTATTAAACCCGCATTCCACTGAATTTTCGTCAGCGTTGCGATAAGGAGTTAACATCCATGGTTCCAGCGGATATCCTGAGTCACCGTAAATTATTTAATTCAATTAGTAATATATAAAAGATACACAAGTAAAGCATCGTTCATTCATAATCTGTACGCGCAAAAAATATCACAACTTTTGAAATAGATATTGGACACTAAAAATATTTATATATAACAAAATACCGTCTATTAAGGTTTTATTTTGATTATAAAAAAGATTACAAATCCTTATTATGTAAAAAACTACGCGCATGTTCCTTAACAGAAGCCATTAATTTTTGAACAGTTTTCCTCGTCACTTTGGCTGCATATTTATTCCACAGAGGCAACATTGATTCATATCAGTGTACGACCCAGCCGCTTCTCCTCAAATTATACTTAACTATCGCCCAAAATTTTTCTATTGGGCGGAGCTGAGGGCAATTAGGCGGATTAATGCTTTTCGGAATTGCTTCTACCTTATTGTTTTGATATCACCGGCAGAGTAATGTATGCTGGCTAAGTCTGGCCAGAATTTAGCAGAGGATCTATGATATCGAATAAAAGGAAGTAATCTCTTCTGAAAGCACTCATTTATATAAATGTGGGATGTCATTGTGGACGAAGTTACAAATGGACGACTTTTATGGCCACAGGAGCATATTGCTTGCCAGTTTTTTTCAGCAAATTTATCTATCTTTTTATATTTAAATTTTGAGGTAACATTCCCACGTTTACTTGCGACATAAAACTTTTGTCCAGGAAGTTGATTGCAGTCGAGTTTAACGTAAGTTTCGTCGTCCATAATAATGCAGCCTTTAAACTTTGTTAAAATTTGATTGTAAAGCAACCGTATGCGTCTTTTTGCCAAAGGGTCTTTTTACCAGATCTATTTGGGTACTTTAGCACGATATGTCCTAAGGCCGGCATTTAAACGTATACGTCTCGCTGTACTTATACTCGTCCCGAATTTTTTCGCACGATCATTGTCTGATAACCCAGGATTGTTATTGGCTGCATTTCTTTATTCATTCTGAACGTTTGGAATAAACTTTTTTGTTTATTTATTCTTTAGAACGTTCCTGATGATATGTTGACGTATATTTCAAACGTATTCTGTTTATTCCGGCTGTGAAATGGGATTATCCGGAATGTGTAAAGAAACGCAGCCATTAATTGAGGTTAGTATCTTCTTCGCTAATTCTAAGTCACGTGTTCCTTTTTTATACACTTCTTTTTAGTTCTCTCTATGCTTAAGGTCTCCTTATATCGCTTTAACACGCTACACACAGTTGATTTAGGCAATTTCAATTTTTTCGCAATTTTAGAACCCGACCATGCAGGATTTGCTATACATCCGTTCAGAATTAATTTTCGATGCGTACTCCATCGCACATTAAAACGCGAACTGATGAGCTATGAAAGTGAAAATTGAAACACATAACTGTTAATCAATTATGTACACGTGTGTACTAAATTTCGTTCAGTGGATTTGACGAATAACTATTGGGGTGTTCACAGTTCGTTCCAAATAGTGTCTGAAAATGTAGACGTCTACATTTTAAGACGTTTTCTAACCGTAAAATCTGTAAAATCCCATACAAACTTGGAAAACGACGCCGTCTACATTTTGTCACACTCAAAGGTATGTTTTTTACGCGTCTACATTTTGCAACCTCGCAGCAGGGTTGCATTATGGCAATACTAATCACATTTTTTTTATTTATTGGGCACGTTTTTTGTATTTGCATTTAATTTGAGCGCAATTTCTGATGAAAAGAAACAAATCAAGGAAAAGAAATAACAAATATTAGGAATTGGTAATTAAGTTAAATAATTACAATTTTTCAGAAACAAAATCGAAAGGCGATATATAAAAAATGCACGCAAAGAGGAAATGTCTGGCAACACCAGCAAAGTTTTGAGACGATTTTGCGACGACTGCTAGAAAGGGGTGCTCACAGTTTGATGCTAAAGATGTCTCAAAATGTAGACGTCTACATTTTCAGACATAATTTGGAACGAACTGTGAACACCCCATATATAACGGTCCCTACGAACGATGCTTTATTATTTGTTGCTAACTAAAGTTCTGAACACATTGAAAACGACGAGCTACCGACCACAGCTTCCAATTTGTCATCTTTATTATCTCAGCGCTTTGTCGATGGCGACATGATTTCTTTGAACGCGGCAGCGACATCATGAATTTGTATGAGTTTTACATAACAGAAGAGGAAGAACCTTATCTGTCGCCAGAAAAATAGAAATAGATCTAATCTGGCCACAACCACAGCCGTCGCGTAGCCCGGTCGTCGCCAAAATAATTATCTACATAAGAGTACGTGTTAAAATAATTTGACAGCTGTGGTTTGTAGCTCGTCGTTTTCATTGTGTTCGGGCTATAAGAACTCGTATCCCCATGGTGGAATAATAACAAGGTGTTGTCAGTAACTTAACCACACTTTTTCGGCAGGTCTATTCCGGTCACGTATTTTAAAGTAGTAGAAAAGGGACTAATTATTTACTACTATTAATCCCTTGGTGCATACTATTTCAAATCAAATGTAGAAAAATTTATAATTGCAGGCTTATAAGCCTGAATATATATTTGTATCGGCAGCTCCACACAGTAAAGGCCGTAAAATAAGGCAATTTCCTATAAGACTGTAAGTGATGTTTTAAATAGATTAAAACACATAAACATCGATAATATAAGCGAATTACTAATCTAACCATGCAGCCACTCTATTTTAGGGCCAGCTTTTCAGTGCTGGTTTAAACTCAGTTTAAACTAAGTTTAGTGAAACTCAGTTTAAATTTAAACTGAGTTTAAACTGGAGAGCTGTTTTTCAGTGAGAGTTTAAGGCCGCTGTAAACATTGGCAATTCGTAGGGCAACACTGGTTTTTTCTTTATCTAGATACGACAACAGCTGTTGTTTGTTTACAATTCGACGCCATTGCTTGATAAATTTCCATAAAAATTAAACGCTGTGAACAAATAAATAAAAATGTCTGTGAGAAGTAATAATTTTTCAACGAGTGAAGTGAGCTTTTTATTAGAATTAGTAGAACTAAATAAAAATGTGCTGGAGTGGAAAGAAACTGATCGAGTTTGCGCAGAGGAAAAATTGAAAGTGTGGAAGGAAATAGAGATCGAGTTCAACTCAAAGTTTAGTCAAGTGTATAGGAGCTCAAAGGTGCTGAAGACGAAGTACGAGAATGTGAAAAAGGACTCAAAAAAGAGATTAGCTGCAGAAAGGCGTGATATTTATAAAACCGGCGGTGGAACAAGAGCTTCTATACCCAGCACAACAATAGACGGGAAAATGCTGAGCATTTGCCAGCCTGAGCAAATTGCGGGCAATGAAGCTATTTATGATGATGACGCATTAGAAATAATTGGTAATTCGTAATTGAACAAATTCCAACAATATGTGTACTATAATTTTAACATAATTGTACTTTAGAAGAAACTTGCCTTGTGGAAGTTTCAGCGGAGATGGAAGAAAATTTATCCGCATCCCCCACTGAAAATTGTAGCTCTGAACTAGAGCAGACACTAGGTAAATACAAATTAGCAAAATGTTTATGTATGTAAATGTTTTGTGTTTAAATACATACTTTTCTTCAATAGACAAACCTCAAGTCTGATATTGCTTCAAAAAAGGCAAAAAAGTGCGAGTTGCATAGTCGAAGAGCATGAACTATCAAAAAAGAAGCTTCAAATGGAAATTGACTTCGAAAAAGAGGAGCACACATGTCCAAAAAATGGAATTAGAAATAGAGATGCTGAAGTTACAAATTCAGCTTAAGAAAAAGGAATTAGGAATAGGTTTTTAGAAGTTTTATTTTGATTTTTAGTTTTGAGGAATTTTTTTAAAATTTTTGTGATAAAATGAATTTAACCATATCAGTAATTATGAAACCAAGACTTGAATGTACCTCTTAAGTTTATTTAATATTAAGACAAAAAAAGATAGTTTAGCGTGCATAGTTATTATGTACATAGATACATGTATTGATACCTAAGAATGTGCCTATTTAAGTTCACCAATGTTTAGGTGGAAAAATATTTAAGACTCGCAATTCAATGCATTTTTATGTGATATTTTAATGTGTACACATTTATTTAACTGTAAATATTTAGAAAAGGTATTTACGTAATTTATTTAACTATGAATATCAAAAAAGTAATTTTGATATGTATGATTTTTCAAATGAAAATACTGGATTAAAAAATGAAGTTGAGTATAATTTTAAAACTAACTTCTTTCATTTCGAAGTAAGTCTTTGAAGTATTGATTTACTAAAACTGATCTTGTTGAGTTGTTCACATTTGATGCCTCCTGCTGTCTGTTTCTTGGGACTGATAGCGCGAAGTCAACAGCGGATGATATGCTACGTGCTAATACGGGAAGTTCAGGCTCATGGTTCATACAGCAAATATTATGCAAGACCGCGGTAGCTACAATTATACTTTGCACTTTTCGATGGTTCAAACGAATTCCAAGCGATAAAATCGGAAATCGCCTTTTCCATACTCCATAACTCCTTTCAACAGTACAACGTGTTCTGATTAAAGAATCGTTAAATAGGTTTTGCTCTGGAGTCATCGGGTTTGAAAAAGGAGTTATCAGAAATTTTTGATGTGTATACATCTTTGGTTTCGGTAGGGGTAAAATTTGCGAAGCTGTAACGCATATCCCAGCACAAAATTTCGAAGGGCTTAGCATGTGTATTTCAGCATACAATTTTTATTTTCATTAGAAGCACCCTGTGTTAGCTTGCCAAATGGTTGCATACATTTAGGCATATGCATAGTAAGAGGAAATCCGCTACAATTGATTATTAGCCGTCATCGATTCGCCATCAGCTAGCAAGTGGCGAAACGAACGAACTCAATGAGGTACAACCAAACTTGCTATCGTCTGTCCGTGCTAGCTAACTTTGTTGTTGCTTTCACATGCAAACTTTTTCGTTAAGCGACCGGAACTCAAACATAGCGAGCGAGAAGCGGCGAATCGACGACGGCATGATACCCACAATGCACAAGATACTAATTCCTTATTAACAATAGGACAATTATCGGGAGGGCTCAAGAGGCCCACAACAAACACTTCCGAGAAAATTATTCCCGGAAGTTTTCTCGTGAAGGATGTAACCGTGACATATATAACCGGCTGTTGATGAGCTCGGACTCGTTTTTAAGCAGTATTTCGGTTCATGACCAAAAAAAGAAAAAGTATCAAATCGTTTTCCCCAGACACAATAAAGCTGCTTTTACCCTCTAAATCCGTTGTCAAAGATGTCACAAAGGAATAGTTTGAGGCCAGCGAAGATTCTGAAAGCGAAAAATAATTAACCAATGATAGTGTACACACATTTTATAAATAAAGGTTGTCAATATATTTAAATAGTAAATTATTGGCTAATATATATATTTTATTAATATAACCTATCTGTAATACAAATTATTTCAATTTTACATTTGATAAACAATTTTGAGTAGATAGAGGCAATAAAATATTTTTTGCCGCATAAAACTTGAAAATGTACCTATATGCGGTGTTTCCAAGATATTTTAACGCCCTTGAGTCACAAGTATATATGTACAAGCATATTTTTATCAATCATACCGATAATGTCATGTATTAAAAGAATTAAAAATGAAAATGAATAAAAAAATTAAATCAGCAAAATTAATAAAATTAAGTGAAATTAATATTTAATTTCTAACCTAACCTACATTTGTATGTGTGTAACTGAATCGCCTTTATATATAAAAATATTATCCTAATTTTCGAGCTTGACTCCCTAATCTGTTATTAGAAAAAGAGATTAGCCATGCAAAATTATAATTAAAAATATCTCAGATTAAACCGATAACTTTTTGGTGTCCAACCCAGTTTTATCGATTATACTTGCGAAGAAGAGGAATGTCAAATGTTAAAGTAAACAAAAATTGACGCTAGTAAGGAAAATAGGTTTGTAAAGGTATTTTTAATAAAATATTCAGTTAAAATATATTTAAATGGCCTAATATGTGTTGCAAAAAAAAAGTGACCACGGTGGCACAGTGAAGAAGTTTAACTTTTCCTCGAGTTGTGTGAATAACAAGCACAACCAATTTGACAGCTAACGAGCTTTGATTGAGATTATATTTGTATGTAAACGTACTTTTATGCTTTGCCGTTCGCATATGTATACACATCAAATTTCATGAATACCTAGTACTCACGCCTTTTTTTGTTCGGGTGTCTACTATCTGCAATAATTAAACTGTCACCGAAATCACTGCTTTCAAAACGTGAGTACATCCTAGAATTCCTTAATATGTTTGAATCATGAGCAGAACCTGGCCAGCGAGCCACAATATTTGTTATTTTAAGACTAGCGTCACATGTGGTTTGAACGTTGATGGAAGAGAATCCCTTTCTATTCCGATATAGCTCCGGGTTTTCACCACCTACAAAGGAATTATGTACATCAGTATAATTGCGGAAATAGTTTAATAAAAGTTGTTACCTGGCGAAATTATCTTTATGTGTGTGCAATCCAAAGCTGCTATCACTGTGGGAAACTTAGCAATTTTGAAGAATCCTTTATAGGTTTCAAGTTTCTCCGTATCGCTTTCTGGGAATTTAATGAAACGAGCCCTCAGCAGAGCTATATGGTGTGACACCAACGTTACCACTTTAGACACCGTTGACTTCGATATTCCGAACAAATCGCCAATTGTTTGAAGCATTCCACCAGCTGCATATACCCGTAGGGTGATAAGTAGCATTTGTTCCTCTGTCTATGCGTGATTCCTAAAGTACCGAGAATTTAATATTTTGAATTATTTAAAATTATAAATGCTCACCAATTTGTCGGGTGCCTGATGTGCTCTCCGATAAGCTCCAAAACGCTGTAAGCGGATGCTTTTGTCAGGCGAAAGCGTTCAAAAAAATCTTTTTCATCAAAAATATTAAAATGATTCGGGTGAGTACATATCAAGAATGATAGAATAAAGAGATTGCGCTTTGCGCAGGTCCGTTACTCTTGTTTACAAATCAGCTGTTCGAGTGTTGACGTCATAATATAAAATTTTTGGTGGGAAGCGTATTGGTTTGCGAGGGAAACGTATTGGTTTGCGAGGGAAACGTATTGGTTTGCGAGGAAAACGTATTGATTTGTGATATTTTTGTTAAAGTTATAAAATAAAAACGTTGTAAAATGAAGTGCGCAGTTGCGAAATGTGGAAAAACGGCGGCAGAGTGCAGTTTGTTTACTTTTCCTTCAGATCCAGAACTTAGGAAAAAGTGGATCCAGTTCTGCCGGCAAAGCAAGGATTTCCAATTTAAAACTTGCTATATTTGCATGCATCACTTTGCAAGTGAAGATTTTGAAAATAGTCTGCAGTTTGAAGTGGGTAGGATGTTTATTTATTTCGTTTATTGTGTTTATATTAATGAAAGTGTTTAAAACATTTCTAAGGTTATGCAAAAAGAAGATTGTTGAAACGAGGCCCCGTGCCATCAATTTACAAGCCCGGTGATGAAAACCCGGAGCGTTCGCAAAGAGTTCATCGTCGTCAAAATACGTCGTTAATATTGGGTTTCATTGGAACGATATCCTTATTTGATGCTGTGGGCAGGCGTCAGTTTCAGGTAAAATTTCTTGCTTATGCCTTGGCAGTTTAATTTTATGTTGGCACCGTTTGCATTGTATTTCCTGAAATAAGTACGCATTGGAAGTTAGTAAAAAGTAATGTATTGTCGCAGATGCTACTTACCATGCTATGAGCACGCCCTTGCTCAACGAATTGGCCCTTTTACGCTGTTTCCTGGTTAGCGCTCTTCGATTCTCTGTAGTCTTTCTGGCATCATATAGCTTCTATATTTGTTTCCAAGCCTTGGAGCTATGCACTATTTGCTGTGGCTTCAATTTCATTTGGAAATCTTACTCGTTCCATTTGCCAGCGCAACGGCGGCCACAGAATGCAATTTTTATTTGAACGCCCTACTCACCTGAAATAAAATAATAATATAAATAATGTAAAAGAAACACAAAATAAATTTACCGTCTTCTCGATTCAATAAATTGCCACCAGATTGTTTTATTTTAGTCTTTCGACTAAATTTTATGCTATATTTACTTTTTTTCGTCGAAATTGTATGCGATTTGACAGATCGCCAACAACAACTTTTATATTATGACGTAGATGCGCAGAACGAAAAATTTTTGCACCCCTATCGGCGCAATCTTTGTATTCTATCATTCTTGAGTACATATGACTCTTTTTCTCCTCAGTATAGTAATCGTAAGTATTTCACTTACTGCCGCGTCACTATAATCACTTTCGTCAGAGGAAATATCCATTTTTTAAGTAAAAATTAAATTACAAGACTGCGTTTAATTATTTTTTTGCAACCAAAAAAACGAATCAGCACACAGCTGATAGGTTAAACTAAGTTTAACCCTGCCAGATCGGCTGTTTAAACTCAGTTTAAACTTAGTTTAAACTACGTTTAAAGTTGACTGAAAAACTGCATACTGAGTTTAAACTTAGTTTAAACGGCAAACAGAGTTAAACTCGCACTGAAAAACTGGCCCTTAGTGTATCAGTAGTCCATTTGGCTCAATATTATGACAATGCAGCAAGAGTTCTTTTAAACAAAAAATCGCCTTTCCATACGATTTTTGTGTACGTCTTTTTCCATTGATAACCACGATATCATTTATTTTTTTACATTTTGAGGACAAACATTATACAAAGCCATCAATTTTAAATATTAATATCGTTCTGAAAACACCAAGTTCTTTAAAAATTGCGATAAAACGAATTACTAAAATGGAATATTTTAGATACTATTTCCCAAGGAATAGTAGTATGAAAAGTAAGATCGGCAGCACTGAAAATAAGCATGCCGATCTTGTCAAAATTACAACAATCACGTCGCTACTGACAACACCTGGTTATTATTCCACCATGCCGTATCCCTCTCTCGCCATTGTCAAAACGAGATTGTAAAGCCCTTCTTTCGCTGGACAGGTTCCATACATGGTAATCAAAGCATGTACCACCGTATCGTGCGTCAACTGCTCTTATCTTAATCTTGTGATCACACATCTAATAAATTTAATTTGAGACTTTTTATGAAAATCTTTATTATATTTTAATACTTAATAACGCAGTGGTTGCATTGCATTCATACTGTGCTTCAATTTGCGATTATGGTACAAATGCTCATTTCTTGTGGGTCTAATCAATTGAATGTGTGTGCGATGACACAATAAACAGGTAATAGCAGAAGATCAAATGCAACCCTGCCATGTATTTTGTTGTTGCTTGAGAAACATAAAATGTCAAATGAGAAATCTCCAATTACACCCAATGTAAACCAGTTTGACAATTCAGAAAATGTGCTGTACCATGAAACAAACTGAATGGCTGGCCCGTAGTGAACGTCTTTTGCCACATATTTCCGATGTCATGATAATTTTAATTGGAGTGGTTGTGGAAACATAATCCCAACGCAATTAATTACTATCGTCACTGCTTAACAAATTACGCTAAAATTGAAATTCGTGCTACCACCGTTGAAGGGTGATTCAATAAAAATTTATAAACTGATGCTCACAGTGCTAAAGATAATTGAAATTCCTCTACCGCAGCTCTACGAAGAGATTATCTGATTATATGAAGTGATCTATTAAACGGATTTATATGTGTTTAATGTGCTCTTGCTAATGCATAATGCCTAGTAGCAAGGAACGAAAACTGCGTCTACTGCATGAAGATAATCATCTGGCAGATAGTGAGTTTCTAGTCGGTGATCCAGCTTCCGAAGAACCACATCTCTTTCGCTGTCATAAGATGATTTTGGGGACTGCGTCTGAAGTCTTTGAAACTTTGAACATATTAAATGCTAATCATCTGAAACGACTGGTAATATTTCTAACACAGCATGTATGATACCATATCTACAAAATAGATTTTACAACAATTGGAGGAATATTGTCGGCGTAATAACTTGCATATCCAGAACGTACTTAAATTATTGAGGGAGCACTTTTCCACCCTATTGAATGGCCCCAGCACTGAAAGAAGTGGAGAAGATGAACCCGAGCCCCCAGTCGATGACGATGTTGTCGATGTCCCACCGCCTGACTATGACGAGGTACGAATAGCGATTACGCGGCTGAAAAACAGCAAACCTGACAGCCTGCCAGCCGAGCTATTCAAGTACGGTTGCGAGGAGCTGATGAGGTGCATGCATCAGCTCTTATGCAGAATATGGTCAGATGAACGCATGCCCAACGGCTGGAATTTAAGTGTGCTCTGCCCAATCCACAAGAAAGGCGACCCGCCAATTACCGCGGGATCAGCCTTCTAAGCATAGGTTATAAGATCTTATCGAGTGTATTGTGTGAAAGACAGAAGCCCGCCGTCAACGAACTGATTGGACCTTGTCAGTGTGGCTTAAGGCCTGGCAAATCCACCATAGATCAGGTATTCACAATACGCCAAATCTTGGTAAAGGCCCGCGAGAATAGGATCGACATCTATTTGTCGATTTCAAAGCCGCTTTCGACAGCACGAAGAGAAGTTGCCTTTATGCCGCGATATCTGAATTTGGTATCCCCGCGAAACTTAATACGGCTGTGTAAAATGACTTTGAGCAATACCATCAGCTTTGTCAGGAATGGGAAGGACCTCTCCGAGCCGTTTGATACCAAACGACGTTTCAGACAAGGTGATTCCCTTTCGTGCAAGTTCTTTAATCTGATGTTGGAGAAGATAATAAGAGCCGCAGAACTCAACCGCTCAGGCACAATATTTAACAAGAGCGTACAATTGCTGGCGTCTGCCGACGACTTCGATATTATCGGTAGAAACAAAGGCTACGTCAGTTCTGTCTTCTAGGGATTAGATAGAGAAGCAAAGCGAATGGGTCGGTCTGGTGGTGAACGAGGACAAACCAAGTATCTCCTGTCATCACACAAACAGTCAGAGCATAGGCGACTTGGCACAAACATCACTGTTGACAGTTACAAGTTTGAAAAAGTAGACGACTTGGTTTATTTGGGAACCAGCATTAACACCAATAATAATCTCAGCCTTGAAATCCAACGAAGAATCACTCTTGCCAACAAGTGCTACTTTGGACTGAGTAGGCAATTGAGAAGTAAAATCCTCTATCGTCGTACAAAGATCACTCTATAAGTCACTCATCATGCCTGTGCTGGTATATGGCGCGGAGGCATGGACAATAAAAACGTCTAGGCGAAACTATATACACCTAGCTTTAAGACTTAAGGCAAGTGATGTTTGTCTTTAGGAGTAATTGCGTTAACACATTCTTCGATAGTGTAACTCAGGTTATCACTTACGAAAATAAGATCTAAAACTCTATTTTATGAATTGGCAAAACTGTTCATTTGTTTTAAATTAAAACTTAAAATATTATCTATGAAGTATAATTCATGATGAGCAATGATGTTATGAGTTATGAGATTAAAGCCTGATGAATTAATACACCAATTAATATTAGGTAAATTAAAGTCACCAAGACCACATATTCGGTTACACTTTAAATCGTATTAAACTCCAGCAGCAATATTATCAGTATGCGCCGTATAAATATCGAATGAACTGACAGGTGGTATATAAGAGGTTATGAGATATAAAGATTCCTTCGAAGAAAGCCCGATTATACGCACACAAATCTGATCCAACTCAGCATCAGCATTACTAAGCGGAACCTGAAACGAACACAGTTCACGCTTGACAGCCATAAGCACTAAACCTCCTCTCAAACACCCTGTTTTATCTGTATCTCTGTCTTTACGAAACACATTAAAGAGCTTGGAGTTGAAGAATTCACTGTCGAAAAAAATGTTGTTCAACCAGGTCTCAACGTGAACAAAAACGTCGAAATCCATTTGCGTGCTAAAATAGAACACGATATCAGCTTTAGTTCGCATACCAGATAAATTATGGAAATAAATCCTTAACCCATTAACATGGCTAGATGACTTAACTACTTTCGGGGCGGTTGCTGAAGGTCCTTTTGAAAAAAACGGAAACGGTCTTACCATTGCAGTTGCTGGTCAAATTTCAGATTTTAGCAGGTTGGGAAACGAGGCCTCCGGGACCCCCAGTTTAAAATTCACTGTTTAAATCAGCAATTGGTGTATTATTTTTAACCATTTTATAACATGAAAGAGAGCTTTTATTAATGCCAGTGTTGTTAGCAATATAGTCTTTAATGTTATCTTCAGAGACTGATGGTGAGAAAGATGCTAGATGTAACCATTTCAAACGAACAGCAACATCCAAATCCGTGGAATTATTTGTACCTACGACACGCATTTGCTTTTTGTTCCTTTTTAACAGCATTTGACTACTGCGCGTTATTAATCGCATCAATAGATGGACGGGTGCTTCAGCAGAAGTAGACAATATTGTAGCACTCGCAACAACAGCAGGTGACATTCTCACTTTATCTGAGATTGCCGTAGTAGTGGTGGTGAGAGCCGGAGCCGATCCAACATCTCGGCAAACGTGAGAGCAGCAGAGGAGGTGACAGCCGCAGGGGCCAGTGACTCAACAACAGAATGAGAAATATTCGTAGTGGTGGCGGTTACAAC